AGTGAATAAAAATCGTACAAGCGAACCAACCATGAAGTTGTTTGTTTATTTTATAAGTACTGAGATTTCTTTCAAACAATAATGACAATTAACAGCGATAAGACAATGAAGGGTCTTTGAAAAATATAAGCCCCGCGGCTTATTTTCGGAATTTTACGGTAGCCTTAGATTAGACAATCGATTGGTAATCGGTGATTTTATTCATTTTGTAATTTTGACTGAAATACGAACAGACATGCTTTGACAAACGGCTTAAAAGTTTACGCTAGGTTTTACGGTTGATTATGAGGTCAAATTATACCAGTCCTCCCTGGTTCCATGGTTCGCCAAAATCGATTGTCCAGTGTTTCTTTTACCTCGTATCTGCTTAGTAGTTACGTAATTAAGAATGTCAAAATCAAATTAAATTGGTTGCTATTTCTTGATTACGTCAAAGTCATTCAAAAAAGTCGAAAGCATGAGGATAAATTTATATCTAACACCTCAAGGAAAAACACAATTTCAATATGATGTTTTTTTTTTTGTACAAAAACTGCTATGTATTATTCGATTTTTCTTACCATTATCATTTTTTAAACCAAAATTGATTTTTGTCGTGGAATTTCAAGAGAAGATGGAAATTTTAAATCACCCGGCATTGAAAATTACTAAATTAAATGAAACTTTTTTGAAGTCATGTAGCTCGCATGAGGTCAAGCAAAGCCTTTCTGCCTGTAAAATTTTAATCTCCACTAGCATAAAGAAGTGCAGAATGATGTTTTACGTCTATTATAAAACACCCCTCTCTGTAACTGACCCAGAATGGAAACCCTACCCGTTAACTCTGTCAACCCGGTGATAATTTAGTCTTCTCGGTACCTGGCGAATAGTTTGTTTCTACCCAGCTATTTTTTTTGCTTCCCCAGTCACTTGCTATCATGACTTTTACAAGACCAGTGTATTTCGCTGTTCATATTCGTTTAAAAGAAGCAAAAATATGAAACATTGTTGCCAAAATACAGGGGATTAAAAGGTAATCAAACTTGCATAAAATTTAGTTCTTTGCTCTCCTCGCTACAACAAGGAGAAGGATGTGAGCCCCCGGGGGGGAAGTAATTGGGTTATTTTTTTGCTGAGTATGTGACGCTGGCCTCTCAGAGCCCCTACCCCAGTCTATTCTGTGGCCAATTATAGACCCCATCTTAGTCACTTTTGGGCAAATGTGTAATTTTCGCGATCCCAACTTAGTCACTTTCTATTTATGTATCTAAATTATACTGAATGAAGAACACTTTACTTTTCAGTTACAGTACAAACATTCTGGTACGTTTTCTAACCATAAATATGAAGAACTGTCTTACCCCAAAAATCCGAAAATGTGCGACCCCATTCTGGTAACTCTATTGAAAATGCGAGCCCATTATAGTCAATCCAGTCGTGAAAATGGGACCCTATCCAGCGGCACATCCCCATTAGCCTCTTATAAGGAAGTACCCCCCTCCCCCCCAGGATGTGGGCCTGCTCCCCCTTTCGACTTTCATGGGAAGTACACAACTAAGAAGAAAAACCCAGTGGAAAATAAATTAACCCACTGACGTTTCCTCCGAGAACCCAGTGAAGAATAGATTCCACTGGGTCTGTTACAAGCAAGTTAATACACCTGCACCTAAAAAGCAGGTTCAACGTGACAGTATAAGCCACTTTTGGAGATAGGTTTTACGGTTTTCCCCCTTAAAATCTGCAGTTTTCAGTTTGAGATCCTAAGTGGTTGTTGGTCTTTCCTTAGTTTATAATTTTAGTTTGTGAACTTTCGGTTTTCGGTTTTTATTGATTCTTCGGCATGGAGTTATAAGCGTTTGTTACAGACCGTTTGTATTCGACTTTACTGTGCTGATCCTCTTGTAAAGAAGCAGAAAAAAACATCAGTTCTTGCAGGATAAAGGTAAAAATCTATAAACTTTTAACTAAATGCCAAATACTATTCTGTGAAGACAACCGTAGGGTTTCTGAATCTCGCCATTTTTTAATTAGTCCACAGGCGGCCCAGACGTAGTTTGTGTCACTGAATGAATATATTAATATCCACATGGACAAATTAATGCGATGAGTCGTCGAAACTCCCATGGACTAAAATAGTCTAAAAGTCAAAATATAACAAAACAAAGCTAAGATACCTTCAACTGAACGTATCCTTGTCTTTCCTGGCCGGTTTAAATTTTGTTGAGTTAACAAATTCTAGGACTATCCACTAAAGAAGAATTAAAGGCTGGCTACAAAACAAACAGACCATCTCCACGCGCCTTCACAAAGCGCTATAAATTCGAGAATAATTGACGAATCCGTTCCAATAACCATCGGCTAAAGGTAACGTGTTCCTGCTTTCTGGCTCGCTTTTCCTTCAAAACCCATCGCAACTGAAATATTTTTTGCTCGCTCAAGAAAACAAACACTGTTGTTGACCTTTACGCTTCGATATGACCGCAAACGACCAGGTTTAATACGCGACGTGAATATTCAAACT